CCCGCTCCTGGGCCTGCCCCAGCGTCACGTCCTCCCGGAGCCCCACGCAGACCTGCAGCCCCACCCCACCCTGGAAAGCACCCAGATATCCGTCCCTGTCTGAGGATGAATGCGCAGTGCGGACTGTGTGCCGTGCAGACCCTCCATGTGGAAAGAGAACGTCCGGGTAGACGGTGGAGGAATGGACTTCAATGCCGTGCTGACTGAAACAAGCCGGACCCCAGGCCGAGCGTCCATCTCTGGGATTCTGGTGCCGAGCCAGACCAGGTGACAGTGCGGGCCCAGCGCCCAGGAGGCCTGCTGTGGAGACGCAGACGCTCGCAAACGTGCTGCGCTGTGCCCCTGACAGGGGTCTTGTGCCCATCAGTTATACCTCGGGAAAGCTGGCAAAGGAAGCAGTGACCCAGACTGCACGCCTGCTGCACAGCCCAGCAGTGGCGATCGCGGCATAAGACGCCCACACAAGCACCTGCGCACGGGGATGTACCACAGCCCTAGTCCTCACCGCCAAAGCCCGGAGCGGCTGTGGGGTGCCCCGGGGACGCGTGTCCCTGCACTGCAGCGTTTACCGGAAATGCATGATACCGCGTGAAAGACACCAACCTGGATAGCGGTTCGATCCCCATTCTGTAGCACTCTGGGAAAATCTAGAGACCGAAGGAAGGCAAGGATTGCAGGGAAGGAGGGAGGCGTGGCGGAGGACGGGACTTCTAGGGTGTACAGTGCCGTCATCGTGCACGACCCCGGGAGCCCCGTGAGTGAGCGCGTGTGCACTGCAGACTTGTGGAGGTATCCGGGTCAGCTGTAACGCACTCGGCTCTGGCCCCAAATGTCCGGGAAACATCAAACGTATGGGACAGGAGCATTCAGAACTCTGCTTTCTGTTCAGTTCTGTGGTGAACCTAAAACTGCTCTTAAAAAGTAAAATCTATGTAAAAATAGAATACGAAGCAGAAGGAGGAGACTCCTTATCCCAGAAGATACCGGCCGCTGGGAGATGTCAGCACTGTGAAGAAAAAGAGGCCCCAGAGACCTCTGGGAAGGAAGGGGTCAGATCCCCAGGGTCCTGGAAGCCCTGGGCACCAGCTGGCCTCAGTCCCTCAAGCAAGCCTCTCTGCTCCTGGCACCCTTCTTCCCTGCTCTTCCCGGGGAAGCCACAGAGTGCACCCCGCGCTCGTCCTCCTTTCCCAGGGTGAGGCTGAGAGCAGCCCAGGGAGCAGGCAGATACCCCAGGAGCTCCCCAAACCCTCAGCAAGCTTCAGGACTGGGCTGTGTGGCCCCGAGGAGAGAGGAGGAGAAGGCACAGGCCTCCTGGGCCTCTGGGGTGGCTTTGAAGCTCAGCTGAAGTCTCCCAGACCCAGGGACGACAGGCTGCCCGATCGCTGGGCAGTGAATGCTGCTGGCTGCCGTCCTGGGGTGAGACTTGCAGTCCCGAGCCCCTGGGCAGTGCTGAGCTGACTGTGCCACAGGGCAGGGTCCTGGGGGACGGGACTGTGCTCCCCACTGCCAGCAGTGTCCTCAGGGAGGTGCTGGGCTGCGCTGAGCTGTGCTTATATCATAGTTGCAGGCCAGGAACTTCACATATCACCTGTGCCCTGCTTTATGCCCCAGACATTGTTGCTACTGAGAGGCAGCCTCCTGCTGGTGGCTCTGCTTCTCTGGAAGTCTGTTCCTTGGTTCTGGGGCTCTGGGCTCAGCTTGAGGAGACCTACACTTGGGTCTCTAGGAGTTGCGGTTAAGGGGGAGCCGCGGGGACCTCGGCCAGAGTCCCGCAGAGTGCCCCTGCTATCTCCGTGCTCACCCATCTGTCACTCAGCTGTACCCTTCCTGAACCTGTCTTTGGAGGGACTTAGTTCATGGAGAATTGTCTCTCTCTTCTTTGCATAGTAGACTCACATTTTTCTAATTCTTTTCAGGTTCATTTAGATCATTTAGGTTTTCAAGAAAATTGTCCGTTTTACCTAGATTTCAGATATCACTCTTATTCTCTTATAACTTTAAAAACTGTCTGTATTTGTGGCATTAGTTCAGAAAATAATTGAAGACAGGAGCTCAAACCTTGTTCAAATATGTTCATTCACAGCAGCTGAAAGGTAGAAGCCGAGCTTTCATGACTAATGAATGAATAAACAAAATGTGGCAATGGAATACAGATACAAGGGAATGTTAGTCATAAATCACATGAAGAATGGCAGCAAAATACCAGTACACAAAGTACTAAACCACAGTGATGTGGAGAACCCCAAAAATGAAGCTGAGTGGCAGAAGCCAATCCCAAAAGGCCACATGCATCTACTGAGTGGTTAAATGATATTTCTTTTCTTTTTTTTGGTACCAGGAATCGAACTTGGGACCTCGCACCTGTGAGGCAGGCGGCAGCACCACCGGGCTACATCCCGGTCCTAAATTACAGATTTAGAACATGTGTCTTTTATGAACTCTCAGCCTCTGAGAGCTGCAGGGTATGATAGGAGCAAGCCCAAGGCGAAAGTGGCCTGGCTGCCCGGCCAAAGGGTGCCAAGCCACACAGGCTGCACCCCGCGATGACCTCAGAAATCTGGGGGTGCAGAGGAGGCAGGTGGGAGCAGCGTGTTTCTATAGCCGAGGTTGAAATGCTGGGGGTGCAGGCTGCCTGAGAGAGAGAGAGAGAGAGAGAGAGAGAGAGTGTGTGTGTGTGTGTGTGTGTGTGCTCATGCGTGCGTGCGTGTGTGTTTCCTGTGACTAAAGCCGGCTGGGACTCCTCTCCCTTGGCCACATCCGGCTGGAGACAGGCTCCCCTCTGCTTTGGCAGGAAGCATCTGAGGTGCCTGTCAGGACATCTGCTTCGGTGTTCTTGGCAACAGTAGGCGTCCTGAGAGGGACTCGAGGCTGGGGACTGGGAACAGCCATCATTCTTTCTCCTTTTATCCTGCAGGGTTGGAACAGAAGCCCCAGCCTGGAGTTTCAAAGAGGGTCCCACGCAGGAAGGCAGAGTTCACACCCAGGAGGCCTGAGAACACCTGAACACCTGAGCCGGAGCAGAGGCCCTTCATGGGGGTGGGGCTCCTTGGGGCCTGACTTGCTTCTGACCCCAGGGGGCCAGTGCAGGAGAAAGACTTTGACTTGGACAGGTGAGTGCGAATCTCCACTTCCTCTTTCAGTGACTGGGCAAGTCTCCATGTCCTCAACTGCAAAAAGGGACAAACAGCCAGGCTTCTGATCCCAGCACTCTGGGAGCCTGAGGCAGGAGGATCAGAAGTTGGAGCCCAGCCTGGGCTACATAGCGATTTAGCAAGGACTTGTCTCAAAATACAAATTTGAAAAAGTCTGGGGATGTAGCTCAATGGGAGGGTCCTGGGCTCAAACCTCAGTGTCATTAATTAATTAATTAATTGGCAAGGAACTAGCATCCATTTCCAGTTTGGTGTTGGACTCACTGAGTGAGCGTGGGGGACACCTGAGTGGAGCTGAGCCCTCTGTTCAGGCTCTGAGTAGTCCTCAGGTCCTCCATCTCCACCCCCGAGGCCTGGCACTGATGTACTGCAAGTGTTTCACTGAGAACCCCGACCCAGGGCCGTGCCTGGGGAGACTCAGGAACCCAGAGTAGCAGGATGCAGGGTGTAGACTACAGACCTACTGGTTCTGTGCTCAGTGGGCTCAGGACTTCTGGGAAGTCAGCTATCTCTCAGAGCTCCCCTGATGGATGGAGGCTCCCTAGGGAGCAGAGGACGAGAAGGTGCCCTTGGCTGGACTGCTGTCACTGCCTGCTAGACCGGCCTCGGTCTCAGACCCATGAACTCCCATAAACTGTCATTTAAATATTGAACTGGGCAGTGGTCCCTCCCTGGCCCCACCCTTCCTGGCTGCCATGAGGTGAGCCGCTTTCCTCCGCCAGACCCCTCCGCCATGTCTTCCTCCAGCTATGGACCAGCCTCTCCTCCCTGCAGCGGTGGATGTTAGAACCACCTACCCCTTGCAGTGACTCTCAGCCCATCTCTCACTCTCACACCACTCAGTGGGCCAAGCTGGGTGATGACTTTTTGCCTGTTTTTTAAGCAGCTTTATTGAGATACAATTCAGGTATCACACAATTCACCCAGTTAAATTGTACCTCAGTGGCTTTTATTATATTCAAGTATGGACCGACTAATACCAAGACCAGTTTAAAAGTATTTTCACCACTTCAAAGAGAAACTCCATGCTCCTTAGCTACCACATTCCTGTCCCTTTTCATTTGCCCCTCTGGACATCTCATACAGAGGGAATGATAAATATGTTTTGGGTAATCCCAACTTCTTTCTCAGACTAAAGCTTTCACGCTTCACCATTGTTGCAGGATATGTTGGCACTGCATCCCTTTTTATGGCCAAATTATATTCCCTTGTGTGGATATGCCATATTTCATTTACCCATTTATCAGTTGATGGCTATTATGAATAATGTTGCTATGAATATTCATGTATAAATTTCTGTGCAGGGCCGGGGATTTGGCTCAGTGGTTCCACTGCCTGCCTCGCAAGCACAAGGGCCCAGGTTCAATCCCTGGTACTAAAAAAAGAAAAGAAAAGAAATTTCTGTGCAAATCTGTGTTTTCATTTTTTTTTTTTAAGGCTATTCCCAGGAGTGGAATTGCTGGGACATAGGGTAATTTTGTATTTAACCTTTTGAGGAACTACTAGATCATTTTCAAATGTGACTGTGCTATTTTGAATTTCCACCAGCAGAGCATGAAGTTCCTGTTTCTCCCCTCCTCGCTGACACTTGTCAGTGTCTGTCCTCACTAAAGAGAGTCTCAGTCCCGGATGGCATCTCCCTGATAACTAATGACTCGAGCATCTTTTCATGTTCCGAGTAGGCATTTGTATATCTTCGGAGACATGTCTTTTTATATCTTTTGCCTATTTTAAAATTGGGTTATATGTCTTTTTATATCACTGAGTTGTAAAAGGCCCTTATGCACGTAGATGTAAGCCCCTTCTCAGACATGTGATGTGAGAGTGATTTCTTCTGGCCTCTGGGCTGTCTTCCCCACGTCTTCATGATTTCCACTGAAGCACAAAAGTTTTCAATTTTGATAAAGTCCAGTTTTTCTGGACTTCACAGTGGCTGTGCTTTTGGGATCCTAGACTTCCCAGTTTTTAAAGTGACATGACATAGGGAAATATGTTCAAACCAACAGTTTTCAAAGCAATCCACTGAGCGAGCAGTCCTAATGAAGGATTTGAGAATTGTTCAAGAGCTGCCGATTTTTTTTTCTCTTCAAACCCATATTTTTAGAAAAATTCTTTCATTATATTCTACTTCATACCAAAAAAATCTGATGTCACTTTTGAAAATTCAAAGATGCCATAAATAAAGAATTCTGGGCAAACTATAAGTATGCAAGTAAGATGGATCAAAGAGTAAGGTAGAATGTAGGATTACACAGAGCTTTTCAGGGCCAAGGCGAAGAGGAAAATGCAGTTATTTATAACATTCCCAGGCCTGAGACATAAAAAAAAATCAATAATTTAATTGAGACATCACTTTCTCTGGCACAGAGGCCAGAAATAAATCTCCCCCATGGGTTTCCTTAAAGGGAGAATATATTTGGACTTTTCAGCTAGAGGAGAGCACACATGTACTTATGTTTTCACAGGTCAACTTTCTTCGTTGTGTATTTCTGGACCTGTACCTCTCTCTTCTCATCACACACAAAACTGTCCTTAAAGTAATCTTTTTCAAACATAAATAGGGGCTGGGGGAGTAATTCGGCAGTAAAGCCCAGGCCCTGGGTTCCATCCTCCAACACCAACAGTAAACAGATCAAAAATAAAAATAGAAAACACAGGGGCTGGGGATTTAGCTCAGTGGTTCCACCGCCTCCCTTGCAAGCACGAGGACCAGAGTTCGATCCCTGGTACCAAAAAAAATAGAAAACACAGAAATGAGCATGTCTCTTCCTTTAGTCTTCAGCAGCTCCCCTGCTGTCGGGCTAACGTGTAGCATGACTGACTTGTCTGACTTCGCTTACAAGCTGTGTCATGATTTAACTCCTGCCCACGGGACCGTCAGATCCGGACCCGCTCCTCCCCTGCACCCAGCCTTCCATCAGTTCAGAGCTATGTCCTCCTACTCACTCAAACTGCTAACACACGCAGGTGCGCGTTCCAGGTGGGAGCGGATTAGAAGCACCGTGTTACACGAGTGGAGAGCTGCTGCAGGTGGAACACGGGGACTGAAACACCATTCAGGTATTCACAAGTGGAGACGGGTGCTTCTGCTCACCCAGGAGCCCTGAAGATCTAAAAGTTAGTATGGGGTACAGAAGTCGGCCCCTCATTCACGATGAAGATTCAGTGTGGCTTTATTATACTGTATTCCAAGAGGGCACGAGAACATGAGTGCTGTTAGAACAATTGTCTGTGCAGTCATTGCTCAGCCCTGGTGGGGGTTCGGTCCCCTCTTGGACCCCAGAGTCCCTAGAGGTTCAAGTCCCATATATGAAAAGTCAGAGCACCCCACACCGTCCTGTGGACCTTAAACAATCTCTAGATCACTCATGATGCCAAGGACAATGTAAATAAGTTGCTATTCTATAGTATTTAGGAAATAATGACAAGAAAAAAGTCTATGTATTCATTACAGACAGTTTTCCCCCAAATGTCTTCAGTTCGTGGCTGGTTGAATCTGTGGGTGCGGGTCACCTATACACTGGTTAATACAAGACAATTTTTTAATTATTAGCATTCAAATTAATAAAATATTAGTTCCAAAGAAAGCTTGATTCTTCAAAACAGTACCTTTTCATGAGGAAAAGAATCACAGCCCTGTAATTCTCTGTCTGTGCATTTTTTTTTTTTTTTTTTTTTTTTTTTTTTTTTTTGGTATGGGAGATTGAACTTGGATCCTTGTGCTTGTGAGGCAGGTGGCAGAACCACAGAGCTAAACCCTGGCCCTGTCTGTGCTAATTTTTAAGGAAAGAAAGAGTTTCTAGAGATACAAGATAAATACGTATTCATTGAAGAAAATACAGATAAAGCAAAGTTTAAAGTTCCACATAATCTTACTTCTCAAAGCTAACTACTGCTAAACTTAGAACTATTTTCCTCTGTATCTTTACTGCCTGTACATATGTATACAGTTTTAAACAAAAATGCCATCTCACTGACAGACTGTGGACGTGCTTCCTCCGGGTCGTGCAGATTTCCATATCATGCACAAAATTGCCCTCCCCTTCAATGGGCTGGACCTGTGCTGCCACGCTGCCGCACATCAGGCACGGAGCCACTGTCCTGTACATTTTGGGTTACTCCTCCTCCTCATCCTCCTCCTCCTCCTCCTCCTCGTCCTCCTCCTCTTCCCCCCCCCCAATTGTGCTTCCGGGAGGCTTTCTGGACCATGCTGGAACCTTCTCTTTAGTTTTCGGGGTTGGCTGAGACTTGAAAGCCCACTGTGTCTCCTGGTAGGGCCCCTGCTGCTTGCAATAGTGGCTCTTTGTGGCTTGCTGAGAACAGAGCTCTATTAATCCCTCTTTGTCTGACCTCACCCAACCTCGCCCTCTGTGTAGGCAGGATTCTTAGGCCCTGGGGACTCTTTGGAGCTGTTGTCATAGTGACCATGGGGGCAGGGTCACTGGGCCAGTGTTCCTAACCAGACCATCTCTGTCTTAAGGATACCCACAGACCATGGCTGTCCAGTTCTGAGTGAGCAGAGTGAAGGGACTGGCCTGGCAGCAAAGCCAGACTTCGGTCTGACCGCACTGAGAGTTCTAGGGTCTACCTGGCCTGCTCAGAAAGCCCCTGCGGGTAAGATGGCTATTGCCCCGTTTGGTCACTCCCAAACCCAGGCTTCAGCCCCTGCAGGCATCTCTGGTCATCTGAGGCCAGGTCTGGAAGGGCCGGGGTGGCTCTCAGGCCCAGCTCCATGCTTCAGATGGCAAATGAGCCCACGGAGCTGCATCTGATTGGAATCCATTTAGCAATTCAGGAACCGCACAGTCCTTCCCCACCTCCCACTTCTGAAAGGGAACTTGTTTGGAGTCTTTTTAAAGCAGCTGGTATTTTTACAGTAAGTTCTTTAAGTCTGATCTCTTTTTTTTTAATGCTTTTTTAAAAAAACTTTTTAATTACACAAATAGTCCATGAGTACATTTTCCTCAGGAAAAAACTAGAACATTGCAGATAAGACTCCAACTCCTCTGGCCTCTGTGCACAATTCCACAGCCCTCCCCACACAGAATCCGGCTTCGGTGTGTGTCCAACTGTGATTTCAAGTCATCTGAGCCTCACTTGCTAGAGTCAAGTGGCCTGGACAGGTGGGGACATAGTTCCATGTCCCCAGATGAACATGAGCCCAGGCATGGGGACTGTGGGCACCCCTTCGGCTTTTTGGCAGGATTTCCACAGGGATGTATGTGTTCCCTGGCTCTGGGAGCCTGCAAGACGGGACACATAGGGCTCCTGTGCTGTGTCCCTACTGAGCCTGGGTGTGATAGCTCCTCCATCTTCTTGCCCCATTTCCTGGTCTCGAGTCCCAGCAGCCCCTGCTGCAGGCCTGGTTTGAATGCCGGAAGTCTGGACAGAGACACTTCAGCTAGGCCTGGCAGTCTCTGCAGCCAGCCGCTGGACCCCAGGGACAGTGCTGAGGCTGTGGGCTCCCGCTCCCTCACCCCATTCCTCCATTCTCCCTCACTTTCCTCTCCTAGTGTCTGCCCCTTCTCCTCCAGCTCCTAGGATCCTTTCCAGAGAGAAACTCAGCTGGCCTTCTATCCCTAGAGAAGCAAAAAGGGAAGTTGAAAAGAGGAGCTGAAAGAGCAGCGTGATGGAGCCAAAGAAATAAAACTCAAATGATAGAGATTCAGACCTTGAAGACCAGTCACAGGAGGAAGGAGGCCTTCCGGCATGGGAGGTGGGTGCCATGCTCCTGACTTCCTGTTGTCTGACCTCCCTGCTGGGGCCATCTCTCCTGATAGAGGCTGGGCATGGCTCCAAGCACTGAGCTGAAGGGCCAGCCTGCTCCCCTGCCAGGCCCTCTGACCACAGAAGGACAACGAGAGTCCTGAAAAGAACAGCTTCGGCTTACGGGCTGGGAGACAGGAAGTGGATCTGCGGCTCTTGCAGTCTCCCAGTCCCCAGACGGAGAACCCGCCCCGCAATGTCAGCCCCCACTCTCCACTGCTAAGTGCAGAGAAATCACAGCCAGCAGGTTTCTGGTCTGCTTCCTTTGTTTAAAATCAGTGAAATTTCTTTTCCTCAAGCAAAACATCTTACCCAGAGCTCTAACGTACGTGACATAAAATCATTAAGACGGTTTCCCAGTGAAGTATTTTCTTGGCAGAAGTGACCGGAGACCACTCCTCCATGTGGAATCGGGCAACTGTGGGTTAACTGTGTTAATGGCAGCTAGGGGTTAACTGGGTGACTGTGCTCTTCGTGGGAGGCACCTGAGTGACCTGGACAGCTTCTGTCATCTGTCACCCAAGGAGCGAAATGGACTCAGAAAGCCCTGCCGGAACTCTTTGCTCCCCTCCCACCCTGCTTTGTGTGAATCCTGCTTGCTCTTTTCCTAGGGAAACTCCAATGAAGATCAGCCATGTAGATGTAAAAAGAGGCCCCCCCAAACCCTCACAGCCTTCAGAAAGCAAAAGAGAAGCCTAAGCCAGGTAGGGAGGGACCATCACAGAGGCACACGGAGGCAAGCGAAGCACCTAGCCCTCTTCGGCTGGGCTCACTGCCTCTGGAAACTGGTGTGGGTTCCCTGCTTTTTCTCATCCCTCTTCTCCGCCCCACCCTGGGGCTTTGTCAGCAGCAGCTCAGCACCTGAAGTCCCTCGGCCCCTCTGATCATCTTCAGTGAGAGTGACTCCCTCCACGGCCGCCTTCCCTGCCTCCATGCTGGGCTGGGCTGTCTTTGACCATCTGAGGAACACGACTGAAGACAGACCGCTCTGACCACTTAGAAATTCCCAGAGAGGACACACAGGGGCCCCAAAGGGACAGAGGGCAGCAGGCAGAACATACAGGATGTGATGGGAAAATGCAATAGATGTTTAAATTTTTTAAATACAGTACAAGACACATTGCCGTTAACCTCCTCAGAATCTTCCCACTTGCTCTAAACACACACGCCACGTCACTCTTGCCACTTTCTGAAGCGGACCTGGAGTCTCTCGGTTGAGTGTGTCCACAGGGTGTGACAGAAAGTACACTGCTGCTGCTGAGTGCCACACAGGGGGCAGGCTTGTGTGTCCTCATCTTCCTGCTCACTGGACCTGGCACTGTGCAGTTCTGGCTCTTCCCCGAAGTCAAAATGACCAGGAAAGGTGGACATTCCAAGTCAACTCAGGACATCAAGGCAGGGACAGTTATGTTCCTAATGACACGCAGGAAAGAGGACTCAGCACTGCCTCCGAAGATGGCAAGAACACCGGGATAAGTTTCGGGGGCTCTGGGGAAGTGTGAGAGCAGCACTTCAGGAGGGCCTGCTGCGGACCAAGCCCACTGAGGTTACTCGGCCCCACTTGATTGTTGGCCCCAGCTTGGAACAACTAAGCAGCTCGAGGGCCGGGGTTTAGCTCAGTGGTTCTGGCGCCTGCCTCAAGAGCTCAAGGACTGGAGTTCAATCCCTGGTACTGGGGGGAAAAAAAAAACTAAGCAGCTCTGCCCTGTGGTGAACCCAAGCCTGGATCCCTGGTGATGGGCACTGGCACACGGCTCTGGCCTCCTGTCGAGGGTCAGCAGGGCTATGTGTGTCCCGGGGAAGAGCAGCCAGGAGCCACTAAGAGTCTGAGTGGCCTAGACTTCTCGAGCCCGGGAGTCCTCGGTCTTGGAACTTGATGTTTTTAGATCCTGGAGTTAACTCTGCCCACCCTGGCTCTGGGGATTTGTCCAGCCTCAGCTGCTAGCTGCTCCCTTCCCCTCTGAGCGGCCCATCCTGCAGTGGACTTCCAGGGCCAGGCCCGCTCAGCTCCATCAGCAGCCCTCCGCAGTGCCCTCCGCACCTGCAGGGAGAGCCAGAGCAGAGCGACCACATGACTGGATGGAACCCAGCCCAGCCTGGCACCTTGGAGGGCAGAACGCAGACCCTCTACAAGCATTACTTCTCAAGTACTGCCTGACTTCCGCTGAGGGACTCTGTCCCCAAGCAGAGTTGTAGCCAGCTCCGATGGGTGCACCATGGGAAAGATAACCCCTTCGCACACTGAACCCTGCGGATCCAGCTGAAGACTGTGGGGTTGTGTGGTGGGGAGCTGGCGAGCTGGGCCTGGGGTTGGAGCTAGGGAAGCTTCTGAGAAGAACCTGGCCTGGGTATGCAGGGTCCCATGGCTATAAAGTACGGAACCAGTTTTCAGCCTCGGAAAACCCCTGGGAGTGTACAGGTCCCGGAACATGTATGCACACCACCTTTGTGAGATTCTCCCCACAGACGGTCCCCATGCCAGAGAGAGAAACTGAGTCACAGCCAGCCCACGTGGGAACACAGAGCTGAGCTCGGTTCTCCTGACCCCTGTGATTTTCCACACTGTGTGTCCCTCCCAGAGAACTGGTGCCTGGTGCCCGCCGGGAACACGTCTGAGGCCTTAATTTAGGGACAGTGCTTGGTGCTGCTGTCAGACCTGGGTGTTCGAGGGGTGGCATGCTCCATGGGATGGAAGGTGTGACACAGTCCAGAGGGGCTCAGCCAATGCGGCACCTTCAGCAGGGGCTTAGCACCTGGGGGAGGGCGGCTGGAGTTCCACAGTGGCCCACAGCAGGGCCCAGAAGGTGAAGCTTCAGAGGCATCGCACACCATGGTGCGCTCGGCTGAGGGTACCAGGCAGGATGTTGACGGTTCACAGGGACCGCGAGGAATAGCTGAAGAAACGGGGGACGGGCCACCAAGCACAAATGTAACCGTGACAGGCAGGAAGAAACAGGACAGAGGGTCAGGAGGGAGAGAGTGTGGAGCCCAATGGAGAGACCAGCGCTCGTCAGTGGCTCTGGCCCCAGCCTCCGCCTCCACTCTCTTTGGTGGATTTATGGAAAAATCACTCCATGTGCTTTCTGTATGCCATCATCTGATATGTGTAGCATGTGTGTTACTAGCGTGCTGTTTGCTTTTGCCAAAGCTGTTTCACTGTTGAAGCGACTGGCCTTTCCGCTGGGACATATCTGACACGGGAAGTGCTTCTTAGGGAATAGCTGCGTAAGTGGGTCCAGAGGTCGCCTCCTCCCCTTTTGGGGTCTCTTGTTTGGTGAATTGTAAACAAGCTTGCTTCCCTCCGAAGGGCATTTTCCTGAACCTCTGGGATGTGCTTGCTTTGTTTCGCTTCCCAGGAGGCGCGCCCTGGTGGAAAGGGGTGCGCTGTGTGGAGGGGCCGCTGGAGCTCTGGAAAGGGCCCTTTCTGCAGCTCCCCAGACCCATGCTCTGTTCCAAGGCCTGCCTGAGGCCTGGCTTTGCCATGGCAGAAATGAAGACACCAGCCAAAGCCTCTTCCCTGCGAAGCATCTGTGTCTCGAGGTCACTAGTGCGAGCCCAGCCCAGCTGGGAGAGCAGGACGAGCTGCCCCTGGAAGATTCCACCACTGGTGTCTGCCACAGCCACCGCCAAGGGGCCACGGGGTCCCCAAAGAGCCAGAGTCTGCTCACCCCACGCCGGGCCCCCAGGTGCTGGTCCCCACCTGGCCTCCCCAGCTGTCTGACGTTGAAGGGTTTCCTTCCTGTGGATGGGGTCCCAACACAGACCTGTGGGGCTCATGTAGGGATCAGACAGACCCCTGCCATGCCTGGCACAGGGTGGGATTGAGGGTGCTCTCGTTCATTGCTGCCGCTACTGCTGCTACTGCTGCTACTGAGTGGACTGTGGACACACTGTCCCTGGAGAGAGGAAACAGGCAAAGATGGCCAAAGAGCGGGGCCGGAGAGAGCTGACCTTGGGACTTCGGTATTTTTCTAGTACAGTGGACCCTCGAGTTACGACCCGCCTGACATAGAAACAACCTGGGTTACCACCCAAATTTTTGTTTTAACTTACAAATAAAAGTCTTCAGTTATGACCCTAATGCGGGCCACTTGGGCTTCCACACGGTCTCAGATACAGATTTAACCCTTACAGAGTTCTGGAAGGAACGTTACACATCCTTTCCTGAGGAATCCTGGGCCAGTGTCTCGCTGAAGACACTGAGATCTGCCTGTGTGCAGGAGAGAGACTCTGAAGGCTGTGCAGAGGAGCCTGAGCCTTCACTGACCAAGTTGGGTTACAACCAGCCCTCGGGAACAAATTGAGTTTGTAAGTCAAGGGCCCACTCCTTCAGATCACCAAGCAAAGGATCTTAAATTGGGATGTTTGGTGGTGGGGCTCATGAAGGAGCTTTGAAGTCAGGAGATGAGCTCGTTCCTGGTGCTTTCCAGATCAGCCACTTTACCTGTGCATCCTTGGGCCCCTCATTTCTTTAAGCCTCAATTTTGTCTTGATAGCATGGGAATATTAGAAATGCCCCTGGCTGAGGTGTTGCGGGGTTTAAGTGAGAAATAATTTAAGAACACCTAACACATTAAAGCAACTACACAATCACCTTTGAGGCACTCAGAGTCCCCCCAGAAGATGGTGTTGTCTCAGCAAGGGGTCGGTGGCCACTCTGCTGAAGGCCCCGGCTCCTCTCAGTATGTCCCAACGCTGACCGCTGCAGGGGTCCTCACAGCAGTGACAGTGAGGACTGGTCTGGCCCACCCATGCTTCGAGGGAGGCCAGGGCCACCGGGCTGTCACCTCGCTGCGGCTCTCAGCAGGCTGTCCTGAGTGGGAGATGCAGAGGGACAGCCCTTCCCAGGGTCCTCTGGGGCTGGCCCCACGCCTGTCTTGTCCCACAGGGAGCCAGGCCAGTGTCACGTGACATGGAGGCTCTGCTCTGGGTGGGCCCTTCCCTTCCTGTAGCACCTCACGGGCTCTAGGGGTCACAGCCTGGGGCTTCTCCTCCAGGGGACCCCCTCATCCCTGGCTGTGGCGGGCCTGATGCTGAAGAAACAGATGGAGTCAGCTCCCTCCCCAGTCCTCTGGGCTCCAGCCGGTAACAGAGACACATTCCAGGGCCAGGCGTGACTCAGACCTCAGGAATGTGCAATCAGACCTCCTCTCCTGGGGTGAATTTCCCATGAAGGTGAGCAGGGGCCAGACAGCTGGCCTGCTTACAGCTGCAGGAAGGTGAGCAAGGGCCCGCCAGCCAGCCAGCCAGAGGGCCTGTGATTCCAGCTGGCTCAGTACCCTACCGTGTGTTGGGGGGCAGAGGGGCTGGGCTGGACCCCAGGCCCCTCCAGGTTCAGGGACTTGGAACAGGCAGGCTGAGTGGGCAGGGGCAGAGGCCGGAGCAGGATGGCCACAAGGATCTGTGTCCCAGCCCTCCCTACCCAACCCAGAGTCGGGACAGAATCTGTCCAGCCACCTGCCTGGGCCCAGCCCCCGGCCTCCTTAGTGCAACCTCTGTGGTGCTGGCAGCTCCTGGAGGCTGTGGCTCCCAGGTACCCAAGCTCCACCTGGCACACAGCTGTGTCCCTGCTTAGTGCCACCAAGCAATTTAATAAGGGTTCTCTTACTGTCTCGGAAGGAACGGCCCACCTGATGTCTCTGAGGGTGCTATTCTGCCAAAGGACAGCACATGAGGCCCAAGTCTGTGCACCAGGTACCGGCTATGTGCCAGGTACAGTGAGAACCAGAGAGGCCAAGCGATGGAACACAGGAGAGGCCTGCCCCTGGCTGAGCCCCGTCACGGAGGCCACATCTGCCCTGACAGCCCTCCAGCCACCCTTACTGGTCCTCAGGTACCTGTGAGGCCACATGCAGGGATCTGACGGCAAGGAAGAGGGGCCCAGAAGGAGAGATGCCTGCCTCAGCCCTCTCAGCTGCAAGTGGGGACGATGTCCAGTGCCCCCAGGGCCTGCTGCCCCCCACCCTCCCCTGTGCTGTAGGAATTCACCAGGCCCAGGAGCCCCTCCCCTCCATCCCTCTGTTCCAGCTCCCCCTGCACTGGCCTCCTTGCAGGGGTCCCGAGCCCTGGCGGGGAGGCCTGGGTCTCCAGGGCTGTCCCACTGCAAGGTGGGCCCATGCCTCCTGGAGGTGTCGGGAAGTGTGCCAGCTGCACAGCTCCCGGGCCAGCATTCACACCCTGAATAAATAGACAAAGTTGTGTAGACTTTTCAAGTATAACTTGGGTTTTGAGTTGATCAAAGCTAGCTGCTCTCTGCGGGACTGGCCTGGCCCTCTTAGTGAGGCGTGCTAGAGAAAGCAGCCATCCAAAGAAGTCCCCCTGGCAAGGAACCACAGGCAGCTCTGAACCCCAAGGTGGCTCATAGCTGGCAGCAAAACAACAAGTGTCCACCACCGTGTCCCTGCCAGGAGGTGCATCTTGCAGCAGGACACACTGGCTCTCCTCTCTGGAGCCTACAGATGCGGTGTCGATCCCTGGACAGCCCGGCAGCTTTGTGAGACCCTGAGCCAAACGCCCAGGTGAGCCATGCCTGGGCCGTGGGCCCTGGGACTGGTACCACAAAGGAATGTTGCTCTTGGCTGCCAAGTTGGTGGTGAATTGCACAGAATAAAGCATAACAGGTGGGGAGCTAGAAGGCTTCAGGAGTGAGGCTGGAGCTGGGAGGAGGGGGAGTCCTGCCCCTTCAGGGTCTCAGCCTGGACAAAAGCCCCCATCAGGCCAGCGGCGGCAGCTGGATGGTGGGTGACTCCGGTCCAGGCCCAGAGCTGTGCGTACAGGCGGTGGGTCCCCTCCACAGTCTTACAGACAGCTAAGTGTGGTGGAGATATTCCAGGCAGCAGGCAGGTGAGGCCCTCGAGGGGTCAGTGCAGAGGGTGAGAACACCTCACAGCTGTGGCCAGAGGCATGTTCACAGGAGGCCAGGCCTCAGGATAAAGACAGAGTGACCAGGCCCATGTGCCTTCCCAGGGGATAAGATAGACTCACCTGGTCCAGCAAAGTCTAAACAGATGTGAGTCACCCCGGTGGGCGACCAGGACCTCCCGATCCAACGCTCCCTAGAGGAAGTCCTTGGTCTCCCCGTGTGCACTTGCTGCGCAGCCTGCTTCCCCAGTTGGATCTGAATCACCCAAGCGGCTGGGCTTGTGAGCCCATTGGCCCATCACAGTTTTGACCCACGTTGTACCCACCTCGTGATGTTGCTCTAGGAAACTTCCTCTGTGAAGCGGGGTGCGTGGCAGCCCACTTTCGGGTCCCCTCCTATCTCTCAAGAGCTCTCCCATTACATTTTTCCTACTCTGAAACTTGGTTGTTCTTTAGAATTCATTCTTTGATTTAGGGGAGCACAAACTCGCGTATCTGACATCTAGCAGGTTGGGAGCCAAATCACTTCCCTTGTATCACTAGGGTCTGATTTCTAGGGCTGGCTAAGCAGCCCAGAAAGCTGGAAAGGGTATAGCCAGGGTCCCACGCCTGCGCAGGGTGGCGTCGGTGTGCGACACGGACCTGGGCCAGGCACCCCGGGCCCTGGTCTGGATCCCTGGGCCAGCCCTGCAGGGGCAGTTCCCGTTCATCGATTGTTGCTGCTGCTACTGAGTTTCCATATTGATTCCCAGTAAAAAACGGCCTGGGTATCTACTTCCACCAGCAGCCTAAGACTTCCTATCGACTCACACTTGTCAGCTGTTGTGATCCAACCTGGTGACTTCTGCCAGTGTCTTAGGTTAACTGTAATTGTCCAACCACAACTGAGACTGGCAACGTGTTCCCAACTTTGTCAACCCTTTAGGGTTCCCTTTCTGTGAATTCTTTTTTCATAAGCTAACTTTTTTAGGAGGATGGTCTTATTTATTTGGGTTTTTCCCCCTTGCTCTTTTTCCCTGCTGGAGCTAAGGGCATTTTTGAACCCCAGGGTGGCCCCTCTACCTCACCAGGCTGCAGCACTGGGCTGTTCCAGGGCCCTGGGTCTGTATCCCCCAGGGTTGGCCTAACTCTGGGGTGGGTGGTGGGTGTGACTTCAGTGTATTTCTGCCTTAGCCAAGGATCTGTACGTTATGCTAGGAGATCCATAGCTAACTGTTCTGTTGATCCAAAGCCTTTTTCCTTATTGTTTTAAGGTGAGGAGGGGTGGGAGGCTGAGGCAGGAGGACTGCAAGTTGGAGCCCAGCCTGGGCAATTTAGAAACTTAGCAAGATGCTGTCTCTAAATAAAAAATAAACAAGGGCTGGGGATGGAGCTCAGTGCAAAGGCCCTGGGTTAAATACTCAGCACTACACAAAACAAAGAATGCCAGGAGGAAGGGCAGTGGGAAGGAGAGACCATGTGCAGAGCCTGGTGCTGAGCTGAGTGCTGTGCGCCTGCCTCAGGTCTTCCCCAGGGCCTTGTCCTCTCTGAGATACCTCTCTGGTGGAAGACACAGGAATCTGAATGGTGGAGATTTACATCACCGCCCAGAACCCAGTTTCTGCCTCCCAGGCCAGACACTTGTCCCACATTGGCACAGCAAAGCTGGGCAGGAGGGTCAGCAGGCCCCCAGCGGGGCTCAGGCTGGGGCTGAAAGACTCCCCGCTGCTGGGGGGGACCCCACCTCCCAGGAGGGGCACGAGCGACCCCCCAGTGCCTGTGGTTGGGCCCCGGAGTTGGCAGCTCTGGGTGTGGTCCTGGTCCCGGACCGGAAAGTCCCAGGGAGGACCTGTGAGTCATGCAGGGTTCTCCCTCAGGCTGGCTTGTTGTGCCCGATGACCTTTCAGCCCAGCCCTGCTGAAACACAGATGATCTCATCGCAGGAGTTGGGGAAGCCCTGACCCCTCAGCCTGGAAGTTCACTGCCCACAGCCCAGACCCGGCCTCCCTGGCCATGAGCGGCTCCTGGAGGAGTGGGGGGGACACTGGCAGTGGAGCCATCTAGGAGGGAAAGCCCCACTCTGTTCTCTCCAGACACAGTGGGGTCTGCTGGCCATCCAACTCAGCTGTGTTGCAGAGTTTCCTGGACTCAAGGGAAGCCGCCGATGCTGGATTGGGAATGTTCCAGGAAGGGCAGACCGGAGACTGACCGGAAGTCGAGGGCTGTGGGCTG